CAGGATCCCACTGGCCTTCTTGGCCACGAGGGCACACTGCTGCCTCATGGTCACCTTGTTGTCCACCGTGACACCCAGGTCTTTCTCCGCAGAGCTGCTCTCCAGAAGGTCGGTCCCCAGCCTGTTCTGGTGACTCTTTCCTAAGAGCTGGAGCAGACAGGGGTGTGAATCACACCAGATCGGGGCTCAGATACCACCACCCTATGACAACATCTGTAGAACACCCGGTCGGACGGACAGAACAGGGTGAGCAGCGAGAAACTCACCTGACAAGGGAATAATTACAAAAAATCAAGCACTGGAAAGAGGAGAATGAAAAGGGCCGAAGAAATCCGGGAATCCTGCAGGATCTGGTCACATGCAAATGTCCTAATGCCAAGATTTGGTCGTGTCTGTGATAGTCCAGATCATTGTAACCAATTTACGAACTCAACATTTTGCTGCTTTCTGTTCTGTCTTCACGGCAGCGCTCAGGCAAGGGCAGTTTGGGCTATGTGGGGTTACATGTATTTGGCAATATTCACCTGGTGATGCTGGAAGGCTACCAGGGAAGGCACCAATGAAACTGCAACCAAGAAACACAGCAAGGATGGGGTCTCTGCTCCCACAAACTGCACCTGGGAGTCTCTTGTTGTGGATTAGCAAAAGCCCAGCAGCTGGTGCCCAGGAATGGCCATAGAGGCCAAGGAAGGTCCTCGTATCCTTACGGACATCTCCAACAAAAGAAGCATTGCAAAGGTTTCATCAGGATGCTGGGACAATCCCTTGCTTTTCTGTAATGGACAAACTGCCACAACAACACAGAGGGGGAATGTTCTCTGATTAAAAATGCCTGTTATTATCTACATGCCCATATTTTATATAAATATGTTATATATATATACACACAATCTTGAATGTAATATATATAATATTCACTTACAGTGTGCACACTGTATGTATATGGACATCATAGGAGGCAGAGTATTCCTTACATATTTAATGAATATATACATTTAAAATGGTAGTTTTCACTCTGCACATTGACAGTGCCATAGAAGATGAAATGAAAGTACAAATCTGTGTTTGTACTCAATTTTTCACAGTTTTTAATGCTCATTCAGATAACAAAGATAGGCTGAAGGCGGTTTCCCTCTGGTTCAATCCAGGACTCGGGGCACACGGTGCTACCCCACGAACCCCCCTGGGGCTTTCGGAAGCATCGTGCTGGGTGGAACAGGAAGGCAAATCCAAGACCTCGGAGGTTTCTTCCAGAGAAGATCTAAAATGCTGGCGGAGATGTCAAACCTTCCAGCAAGGAGCAAATGTTAAGAAATATTGCCCAGCCTGCAGGCACGCAGGGTGTTCTGTGTAACGCCCTGTGTACACCCCTTGTGTAACACCATCTGGATTTAAGTGTCTTACACAAGCCCTTACTCAGTGCTGAGCTGCTCCTGAGCTGGGATTAAAGGCGAATCCTGTTTAGAAAAACACCCTCATGAAGGAAGCACGAAGCAAAGAGGAAAGTTTGCGGGGATCTTCCAAAGTGTGACAGCACAGCAAGGCAGAAACCATCTCCTGGAGGGCTGCAGGACCTAGGATCGCTTGTTATAAAACGGAGCCTTGGTTTAGCCTGGAGTGAAGATCTGGGGGAAGTCAAGGATTGAGTGCTGTTCTGGTCAGGGGAACATGACTGCTTTTAGCACAGGAGGCAATTGAAATAGCTGGTGAATCTAAACACCGTGGGGATCTGTCACAAAAGGAGGCAGAAAATCCCTCCTCTGTATTCCTGTGTAACCAAATAGAATGAGCCTGGAGAGAAGAGCGGAGACGAGAACTTGAAGTTTGCCTAGAGAAGAAGGACAGAGCAAGACATCGAGCCAGACACAGAAATCTGATCTCTGCAAGCCCAGGGGCTAGAGATGGCTGAAGAGGAGATCAGGGCTTCGGGCACTCCGTTCTCCCTCTCTTTTTCGGGCAGTGGCTTTTTGGTCCTGTACCAGATGGGAGTGCTGCAGTCCCTCCTGGAGCTGGCTCCGGAGCTGCTCCGCTCGGCGTGCAAGGTCTACGGCTCCTCGGCAGGATCCCTCATCGCAGCGGCCGTTGTGTGCGGCATCAACCTCGGTAAGAGAATTATTGCCTTGATTTCTCATTTTTGACTTTCATTTCCAAGTACAAACGCCGGCACTAACGTCTTATAGGGCCAAAGGAGGGAATGGGATGACATGGCTCTAGCCCTCTGCTGAGGATGATCCAAGTTGGCTGATAGGATAAAATATAATAGTGGGATTCTTGGACAGAGAGTGCATTTCCACAAACTCGCTTCTCTTTGCAGTAAAGAACACTGCAAGAACATAGGTCATTTCTACGACCTAATAGGTCATACCTATGTCCTATTTCATCACTCACCTGGGCTTTGGGAGAAGAGATTTGTAACTCTTGAGGTTTTGATCTCTTGGCCTATAGGGCTACTGAATCCATGGCGTAGCCCCTTCCCTTTTGCAGGGCTGGGTTCCACATCTCTGTCCTTGCTGTGGCGCTTTTGTCTTTAATATTGAGTGCTAAAACTGGAATAAGTGTCCTTTACTTTTTTGGCAAGGCTGGAGCTCACCTGCTATAGAGGAGTGAGGTTTTCAAAGGAGCTTTTACAATATTTGAAGCCTCTGCTTCACATATGCTAGGACCATTCCACTGAAACTAAAACCCATTTAAAAATTAGATAAATATATTTAGACAAAGGGGAGCCCAACTGTCAGAAATCTTTCTGCCCATGTGGGAAAGAACCTCCATGTACATCAGCAAAGATGCCAATACTTTCCTCTCCGATTTCTCATCCTGTTGCAATAGAACAGAAGAGCCAGGGCTGTCAAGCAGTCACCATCAGTGCTGTCACCATCAGTGCTGGAAGGTGAGTCTGCTTTGCTGGAGGAGATAGGGCACCAGAGTTAGTGGAGGCCCTAAGTTGCTCTTGTGCCCAAATCATCTTCCCTCAGCGGGAGAAAAGACCTTTTGGATAGTCATGACCGTGGTTGAGTTTTTAATATAGAAAAGGCATGTGGCTCCTGCACACAAACTCATCCAACGCCAGTCTGGCAGAATTGGGGCAGGAGGAGGGTAAAAGGCAGGTTTAGCATCTCCAGCCCGTGCAGCAGTTGTCCCCGACGGGCACCCAGTGGGGTGGCTGCGCTCAGGCACTGCTGGCCCTGGCCTGGCACCAAGGAGCACTAAGCTCCCTGACCCAGCTGCCCCGGCAGCCTTGGGGCCCTGATGGCTCTCAGGGAGCCAGGTCACTCCTGAGCACGCAGAAACCCGGGGCAGGCACCCCCCAGCAGCCCCCGCACGGCCCCCAGCAGCTCCCGCTTCCTACCTGGCAGCTCGTCGGCCTCTTCCCAAGTTCCTGCCGTTTCCAGGGCTCAGGGCGAGAAGAAGGACGTGCTGGGCAGGTGTGTTCTTGTGCTGTTGCTAACACCCCTCCTGGGGCATCGCAGGCTCTTTCGGCTTCCCCGGAGACCCTGTGTGAACCTGCCAAGCGTTAATCGTCGTGCCACATGGCCCGAACATCCGCTCAAACACTTATAACCCCTCTTAATACCTGGGTTGCTGTGGTTGCCTTCAGGACACTCCATGTAATCCATCTGTCTGGCCATATTTTTAAAGCCATGTGATGGGACAGCCCGGGCGACCTCTGCTCCTGCAAGGGGACAAGTATCACTGCTCAGGCGAGCGCCTTTTGAGCTCTGCGCCGCTCCGGCATCCTGCAGAGCCTGCCTGGGGCACACGGATAACTCCGGGCAGGATCAGGGGAATGGAAAACGTTTTCAATGCGCCCGTTCAGCCAGCTGAGTCATGGGAATGCGTGACCTGAAGGACAGAAAGGGCCTCCTCAACAGTGCCCTGCAGCTGCACTCCTGCTTCTACCATCCGGGAGAGCAGTTCTACCTTGAACATAATGAGCTAGGGAAAGGGAGGAGGGAACAGCCAAACCTCTGGCTGAGACTGTCAGACCTGCCCGAACCGCTCCCTGCTCCTGCAGGCAGTGAGCATGGAAAAGGGTGGTGATCAGCGGTGCAGTCTAGTTGGAGGCCTGTGGCTAGCGGGGTCCCCCAGGGGTCAGTCCTTGGTCCAGCCCTGTTCAATTTATCCATCAATGACCTGGATGAAGGCACAGAGTGCTCCCTCAGCAAGTTTGCTGATGATACCAAACTGGGAGGATTAGCCGATACCCCAGGGGGCTGCGCTGCCATCCAGAGGGACCTGGACAGACTGGACAACTCAGCAGTGAAAAACCTCATGCAATTCAACAAGGCCAAGTGCAAGGTCCTGCACGTGGGGAGGAATAACCCAGACACCAGTACAGGCTGGGGACCGACCTTCTGGAGAGCAGCTCTGCAGAGAAAGCCCTGGGTGTCACGGTGGACGACAAGGTGACCATGAGGCAGCAGTTGCCCTCGTGGCCAAGAAGGCCAATGGGATCCTGGGGTGCATTAAGAAGAGCGT